GCAAAGGCCTCCAACCTACAAGCAAAGGCCTCCAACCTACAAGCAAAAGGCCTCCAACCTAATGGCAGTGGCCTCCAACCTACAAGCAAAGGCCTCCAACCTACAAGCAAAGGCTCCACACCCAATAGCAAAGGCCTCCAACCTACAAGCAAAGGCCTCCAACCTAATAGTAAAGGCCTCCAGCCTAATAGCAAAGGCCTCCAACCGACAAGCAAAGGCCTCCAACCGACAAGCAAAGGCCTCCAACCTACAAGCAAAGGCCTCCAACCTACAAGCAAAGGCATCCAACCTACAAGCGATTGGACGAAGGGAACTGTGGGAAGGGAACTGGAGGAAGGGAACTGTGGGAAAGGAACTGGAGGAAGGGAATTGGAGGAAGGGAACTGTGGGAAGGGAACTAGAGGAAGGGAACTGTGGGAAGGGAACTGGAAAAAGGGAATTGGAGGAAGGCTGAAACCAAAAAGTTCATAAAACCATCTTGGGAGCCAAAATTCGCAAAACCACCTTGTGAATTATAGCAATTCACAAAGCCATACTGTGAGCCATCAAAAATGACCAAGCCATCTTGTGCATCATTGGCTATAGATTCAGTTGTAGTCAGCTCATTATTAGCCAATTTTGGCGTTTCATAAATGAAGCATTTGGTATTACATCAATATTGGTAGATTTCAAAGAATTTTCAATTTTTGAGAGTTGTAAAAAAGTATGAACACAAATACAAAGAGAGCGGGTGGTCATGGGGCCTGGGTTTTGGTTTTCCCTAAAATTTTAGGTACATGCTTTAGTGGCAGCCCCTCTCCATATAAACACACATATCTATTCTTGCTCTCACTCTATATATGAACAAATATATTATGTACTCCTGAGTCAGGATTTTTTATTGTTTTGGAAGCAGCAATCAATCATTCAGATGGTTTTGAACAAGATAATTAGAAAAGAAGCAGGCCATAAAGGTGGTCGTTTTAACAATTGTCCTCTAGATCTCTGCTTACAATTATGTTTAGATTTGGAAAGATTGTGTATAGACGCTTTTTATGTTATAAAAGATTCTTTATAGATCTCTGCAGATAATCATGTTTAGATTTAAACATCCATATAGAAACCTTGTATGTTGAAAGCTTTCTTCTAGATTTCTGCGGGCAAGAGCTTGCATTTTCAAAGCTTTCCTCAGGATCTCTGGGAAAGTAGGTATCCCTATATGTGTTTTCATGAAAGGAAAGCTCTTGAAAGAAAGACTTATTTATTGATATATAGCATGTTTAAATTGACATGACCATTTCCAGAGATCCAGAGGAAAGCTTTTGAAAGGTAAGCTTATATATAGTTTTATTGTAGAAATGATCATCCCCAGAGATCTAGAGGGAAGCTCTTGAATTAGAAGCTTGTACATAAAACATGTTTAATATGTATATATTATCTCCAGTGATTACTGACAATAAATGAATCTAACTATTTGCTCCAAAAAAGAGTTTTAGTCTTGTTCCCAGCACTTCCAGGGCAAAAAATACTGTAAAACGCGGGGTTTTGTAGCATGTGTTTTCTTAAACTAAATAGACTAGAGCTAGAATAGAATTAGGTAGAATTAAATTGGATTTGAGTTAGAGCTAAGATAAAGCTGAAGTAAAACCGAATTGTAATAAACTTGTATTGAACTATAACTATAGCCTAATTGAAATTAGATGAGAGTTGAATTAGAAAGGAATTAGAATTAAAATTAGAAGTTCGCCAGAATAAGATGTAAACGCTTGAGCTATAAGCACAGAATTACGCTCGCAAAGATTTCCAACCGTTTCATGTAAAGGACAGAGTGTCCTCGCAACTGCATGTCAAGCTGTTTGGAAATGCAAGTGGCAACCGCATTGATACCAGTCAGCAGTTAATGCACTCAGACTTGTATATGGAGATTTGGACAAGGACGAAGGAAGTGTTGAGCTCAGACGGTTTCAGACGTAAGCAAAAAAGAACAGATGCCTTGAGGTGAGAAGTAAGCTCAGATGCTAAACCAAAAAACCTTGAGAAAACACAAAAAATACAAAAACAATTCTGAGAGACTCTTGCTTGGACCCCCCAAAATCAGAAGAATCAGAAAACCAAAAAAACATTGGGAAAACCAAAAAAACCAATTCTGGGGAAGTCTTGAGGAAAAGGGGGTCCAGCCAAGAGTCTCTGAGATTTTTTTTGTTTTTTTGGTTTTGGTTTTCACAAGGTTTTTTTTTTTTGGTTTTTTGGTTTTTCTGATTTTGGGGGGTCCAGCCAAGAGTCTCCCAGAATGGATTTTTTTTTTAAAAAGTTTTTTTGTTTTCCCATGGTTTTTAGTTCTTTTTGGTTTTTTCTTATGTGTTTTTTATCCTTTATGCATATTTATCAGTGTTTTTTGGTTTTGATTGTGGCACTGATGCATTTACCTAATATTTATGAAAATGTATGGAAAACCAAAACCCAGGCCCCATGGCCACCCCTTCTGAATACAAAATTTCCAAAGTTAAGTTCAGAATTCTGAACTTAACTTCAAAATTTTAAAAGTTACGTTCAGAATTCTGAACTTAAATTCAAAAATTTAAGAGTTAAGTTCAGAATTCTGAACTTAACTTCCAAAATTTAAAAGTTAAGTTCAGAATTCTGAACTTAACTTCCAAAAATGAAGAGTTAAGTTCAGAATTCTGAACTTAACTTCCAAATTTTGATAATTAAGCTCAGAGTTCTGAACTTAACTATTTTTGGTGATTTTGAGGTGCTTGGTTGTAGGTTGGAGGCCTTTGCTTGTAGGTTGGAGGCCTTTGCTTGTAGGTTGGAGGCCATTGCTATCAGGTTTGATGCCTTTGCTTGTAGGTTGGAGGCCTTTGGTTGTAGGTTGGAGGGCTTTGCATGTAGATTGGGTGTCATTGCTTCTGGTTGGTGGCCTTTGCTATTAGGTTGGAGGCCTTTGCTTGTAGGTTGGAGGCCTTTGCTTGTAGGTTGGAGGCCTTTGCTATCAGGTTTGAGGCCTTTGCTTGTAGGTTGGAGGCCTTTCTTTCCCTTCCCACAGTTCCCGTCCTCCAATTCCCTTCCCCCAGTTCCCTTTCCACAGTTCCCTTCCTCCAGTTCCCTTCCCACAGTTCCCTTCCTCCAATTCCCTTCCTCCAGTTTTTTTGATCACAGTTCCCTTCCTCCAGTTCCCTTCCCACAGTTCCCTTCCTCCAGTTCCCTTCCCCCAGTTGCCTTCCCACAGTTCCCTTCCCACAGTTCCCTTCCTCCAGTACCTTTCCCACAGTTCCCTTCCTCCAATCCCTTCCCTTCCTCCAGTTCCCTTCCCACAGTTCCCTTCAGTTTTTTTGATCACAGTTCCCTTCCTCCAGTTCCCTTCCCACAATTCCCTTCCTCCAGTTCCCTTCCCACAGTTCCCTTCCTCCAATTCCCTTCCCCCAGTTCCCTTCCTCCAGTTCTCCTTCCCCCAGTTCCCTTCCCACAGTCCCCTTCCCCCAGTTGCCTTCATCCAATCCCCTTCGTCCAGTTCCCTTCCCACAGTTCCCTTCCCACAGTTCCCTTCCTCCGCTTCTCTCTCTTCCCACGGTTTGTTTGCGCACTTGTTTTTGTTTGTAAGTGTGCTTAGAGCCTTCTCCCTCCTCCAATCTCTCTTCCTCTTCTTCTTCCTCCTTCTTTCAAATACTACTGCTGCTGCTGCTACTACTACTACTACTACTACTACTACTAGCCTTGTTCTTCAGAGGTGGTAGCTTTACAGCTCTTGGCCAGCAAGCGCAAGCAACACCCATCTTCGACCAGCAAACCATGGTCTTTAGTGGTATCCTTGGACCTGGGCATGGTATGCCAGTTTCCTCCAATTTGGCCAGCACCTCCATTCCACAGACAGTTGGCTCAGCATAGCTTTGGTCAGATCCACCAAAGTATGAGTCGTGGAAGCTGCTGTTGGCCAAATCACCACTGCTCTGCTTAGAAGCTTTTTTTGCCATGAGCTGATTCATCCACCCACTGGCTTTTTGTTGAAAGGCTCAGAAGGCCAAGATATCAGGCTCCACTTCACCTTCTCCATGCTGCTAGCTGACGGCGCAGCCTAGAAGCAAGTTTGGAGCAGCAAAGGCGACAGTGGCCCCAATGTTCGAGCCAGTGGCACCACAGAGGACCAGATGCACTGCAACATCACCAAGCAATGGAGATACTCCACCAAAAGTAACCATTGAGTTTCTGCAAGTGATGCTTGTCTGAGGAGCTGACGATATGTAATCTCATATCTGGATGGATCCTCAGTCACGGCCTTAAGCATCAGGGCGATCTGCTTTTTGTACACGCGAACGGCTGCTTCAGCTCTATTTGGCCATGGAGTACCAGGTCCTAAAGTAATCGGTCGGATATTCTTCCTGTTGTAGAAGGCCTCAAGTTCAGTACCCTTGAAACCTTGATCACCGACAAGATACTTAGGATTCAACTGGCATGTTTCAAAAAACTCCAAAAGATGGCCAACGGTTTCAGCATCTGTTTTGCCGTTACAAACGTAAGCAGTGGTCATAGAAGTAGCACCATCATAAATGATCAGGAAAAGAAGTTTAGACTTCTCGTTGATGGCGAGTTTGCCGTGATCGACAAAGGTGAGTTCACCAAACGTTTCGCTTCTCATACCTGAAACTCTTGATCTTGATGGTGCTATCTTAGACTTTTGACAAGTGTCACACTGCTTAACTACTTTGTCATATTCTTCATAGATCTTAGCAGGAATCTTCAAAGCTGATGCGCGTTTCTTAAACTGCTCTGTTGACAAATGATAATGCTTCAAATGCAGTTTCAAAAGTTCTGTAGGATGAGACAGCTTTTCATGAATTCTGCGCAACGCTAACGGCAATGTCATTGAAACCTTTGGTGCCTTCTTCTCTATGAGAACTGTGGTTGGTTCAGGTTTCACACCTTCCTTTGTTTCTTCCTGAGGATCTGGCTTCACCGGCTCATCTTGTGATGCAGGAGGTACACCAGGCCCCTCTGCTCCTGAGCTTGAGCTCGGAATCTTCGAAATCTCAAATGGTGTACCAAAATCAGGCGACTTTTCTGTCTTCCGGAATGTCGGAGGTGTCACCGTTTTAGCCAGTGGTGGCATCGAAATAAGCTTCGAAGGCGGATCGACCTTGGCGTCTCCGCTTGCAAGTTTCTTCTCCGGCTTCTTCACGGCCGCAATGTCGGCTGCAGAATTGTCTTCCTTGGCTTCTGATGTGGCTGCCTTCTTGCATCCATCTTTAAACGTATGTGCTCGATGCTTGCCATTGCAAGCTGGACACGATGCAAACGAAGGATTAATCATTGTGAAGCTATGGTTCGGCTTTCGAACTGAGCTGGCAAACATCATGATGTCTAAGACATTATGATTCGAAGTGCTCACTGGCAACGAAAAACACTTCAAGCCGAACAAAGGACAAGTCAGATAGTCGCCGGCTGGAGTATGCTCAATTGACATGCGGAGATTGCGAAGTTGTTCGACACTGAGCAGAATTGGTACGTCTCCTTGGTCGAGAATGTCAATTGCAGTGGAGATCCGCCCAGTGGGCGCCTGGTGATTCTGATTCTGAAAATAGATCACAAGCTTCTCACGGACATTGGATTGCTCACCATTGGCGAACGAGAATCGACTTGGCGAAGGCTCAAAAGAGAAATCAATCTTGGCTGAATTGTAGTGTCTCTTACATGCCTTCACTAGATGGCGGTCCTTGAATCCATCGCTCTGGTACAGCTGCTGTCAATGATCACGTAGGTCGGACTGTACCTCGACATATTCAGAAAGCAATGCATGGTGAAATCCATCGTCAAAATTGACAAATGATGAACAGAAGCGTGGATGAGTCATCCCAGAACAACCGGAATGTTGGTAGTCTTTCTTATACCGGCACGGTTTAGGTGATACTGTTGTGAAACGTGCTCTTCACCAGTCAAATCTTCTGCGCGATGTCCGGAATATCGGATATCTGTTGACTGGTTTTGCTGGTCAGGCCTTGGCTCTGAGCTTGTCTGCTCTTCGGTTCGCGGTCTGTCCGTCTGTCCGTCCGCGAAATATGCCCATTGTTGTTGCCAAGTGGCTTCATTTGCCTGCCAGACATCTTCTGGATAGTACTGGTCGGTGTGATATCCATATGAGTCCCATGACCAACTTGCTTCACCCGCACTCCAGGTTTCTTCGGCATTAGGATTTGACTGAGCCGTTGAAGGCTCATCGGTGCTTGCAACATTGGATTGTTGAAATTGATTCTGTTGCTTGCTCTTTCCTTGAGACAGATGCTTGGGTTTAGTTTTTTTTTTTTTTATGAAAAATATGAAAAACTATGAAATTGACAATGTAGAAAAATATGGTTGTTTATATGTTTATGAAAAAATATGAAAATAATATGAACAAAATATGAAAATAATATGACAATAGAGAAAAATATGAAAATAATATAAAAAACATATGTTTTTCATATTTTTCTTGTATTCTCCGAAAGTTGGTTTTCTCATTTCATATTTCAGGAATTCATCAGATTCATATTTTTTCAGAAAATAAACTGTTTTTCGATCCATGGCAAGCTCCAGGGTAACTGTGTCTCAACTCTTTCCTTTGCCTTTGAATGCATCTTTTCCTTTGAAGCCGTTCTTTCCACCTTTCTTTCCTTTCTTGCCTTTTCCATAGAAACCGGAGTTGTCAGGGTGCTCTGCATAGTGCGCCCCTGCACCCTTGCCTCTATACTGCTTACAAAGCCGGGTCTTCTTCCTTGTCCGTGGCATTTTCCTTTGCCGCCTTTGGGTGGTTTTCTGAACCTTCTTCCATGGATTCTCCTACGGGTGTATCCTAACACCGAAAAATCGGATTCTGAGAACAAACTCACAAATCCTTCTTCGCCTGTATCCTGATCCATCACCCAATAATACCCAATATCCGGATTCATCCTCGAAGTCTCCTTCATCGAGGACAAGGAAAGTGGATCTTCTTTGCCTGCGGATCGAAGGATCGGCAATTCCTGTGGCGGCTCCGCAAAAGAGATCAAGGAATAAGCCTTTGACGCCTAAGTATGTGTAGTTGTTCATGTTCACTTGGCGTAAGGCCATGCGTGGCTACAAACCTTTCTCTTTGCTGTTCATTCAGGTCGGACTGAACTAAGAATGTAGCCGCCATTAAGTTGTCAGACAGTGGAAAAGAATCACGATGCGCTTGTTTGATGGCATCGATGTGTTCAGAACGGATTCTTTCTGCATTTTCTCTTCTCCCTGCGGGATCTTGAAGTCCTTGAAGTAGTAAGCACTGCTGTTGCGAGAGGATATCAGAAAAGTTGAAATCGTCAGGCTGTGGAACATGTAGGTTTCTATGACTTTCTTACTTGCAACTTCAAAATGTGCGATCCAACTGACAAATTCCCGTTTCCGCGCAAGGTCCTAAAGAGCTGCGTGAAACACCAGAGAAAAACATGATTTGCTCCCTTGACAAAATGTGGACGTAACGTTTCCTTAAAGTACGTGATGCCGTTTCTTTCGTTACGAAGCTGCTCATTGCCAAGCCGTGCTCAAGCATTGCCGTTGCTGCGCCGTTCTCGGGGGCTCGGGGCTTGACCAAAATCAGCGTAAGGGCAATGGTTCCAAGGTTTTGTGCTTTCGCACTCGTTCACTGTCAAGTCGTGGGACGATGCTTTTCGAAACAAATGGTCATCACCAGCAAGTGAACGAAAATCAACAAACAGGCTAAAGGTTGCGGACGTTTTCCCACGCAGCGAGAGCTCGAAGCGTAGAGTTCGAATCGGAGGGCTCAGAAAATGATGACCTCCTTCTGCAAATGCTCATCCTGCCAACTCTTCTAATAGCAATGGCCTCCCCTACTAGCAATGGCCTCTAATGCTCATCCTTCATTCCAACTCTGCTTCTCTAGCATGAACACTTAGGAATGCCGGAATTTAAGCGACGAAGATTTGTTACATTCTGAAAAAAGTTCGGAACTCGTCCATGGCCTTCCGCTGCAACTTGCGAACCTCTGACTTGGTCCAAGTCTTTAAGGCTCCAGCACCGTCTCTCCTAGTCTCTCCGAGTCCACCCTAGTAGCAGCGATGGCCTCCAACCTACTAATTAGTGACGGCCTCCAAGGTAGCGATAGCGATGGCCTCCAACCTACATGGCAAACCCAATTTTCTTTTTCCAAGTCTGGGCTTCCTGCATGCGTTGCCAGAAGAAAACCAAGGTAACCTGGCGACCAGGTCCCGATCCCGAATGATAGAGACAAGACTTTTGTTCGGTAGCCTAAGCAGCAAATAGGTACTGAAACCCAAACCTGAGTACAGTAGAGGTTTGCGCCACTCAAAGGCAGGCTGAAAGCTGCTCTGAGGATCTCGCGAAATAACTAAAATACACTAAAGATAGACCGCAGGCACCTTTGTTCCTTGGCTCAACAGGGCCACTCTTGCACCATGACAAATGCCAAGCGCATGGCCGGTCAACTGCTGGATCCGATGTCCACAAGAAGCCCACAATATTCAGGACCTGCGCTGACTTAGCAGTGAGCTTCAAAGTAAAAATTGCTCGGACATGTTCAACCCAGGAAATGACGAGGACGCAACACTGACATCGCTCTTGGATTGGAGGTGATCGCTAGCAGGCTGGAGGCCATTGCGATTAGAATTTAACTGAACCCACCAGCAAACTGCAGAACTGTCGCTCGCTGACCCCTAAGATGACGAGAATGGCGATGCGACCAACCACGGCCTCAGCCATTTAGTGAACTGGGTGGCATGTGAAGTTAGGATTCACAATATCGTGATCATGAGGAAGCAACATTTGGATCTGAAACGTAAGCAAGACCGCTGAAGACCAGCACCAAACACCCAAACCTGGAGTCAAACAGAACCGTGTACTCGCACAAAGCGAATCGTGACAGGCCGGGCAAACCACATCAGAATGCCATCCTTGGAAACAAGAAGGTTTCTAGTATGTCTTTGAAACTTCTTAGTAATAAAACTTTCTAGTAGCTAGACACTTCCTTGGGAATCGCTTCACCTGTAGTAGCAAGCAAGGTCAGTCGCCGATCGGTCTGAATACACCCCACTTATGCGATCCAAGCGCAAGGTTTCGAGGGCAAGCGTTATCTCGATACCTTGGATCTTCACGGAAATGAATTCATTTTTTTCTTATACATCTTTTATTATATCCTTTTTGTTGCGCTTCTTTATGCTGCTTTACAAAAAGAAAGGCTGGTGAGAAGAGCCAAGCAACTCCCAGCCGGCGAAGACTAGCATCCAGCCGAAGATGAAGGGGAAACCAACATAGCAGAACCTCAAAAGGAGAGTAAGTAGTAACTTAAGTAAGAACTGGTCTTAAAAAAACACTTCTAGCAACAAGTGCCTTACTAGTAGTAACAATGTTTGCTATTAGAAACAAGACACAACTGACCAAGAGCGGAATTTCCGAGTCTTTGGCTTGCTGCAGGAACTCAATACCAGTGGCACAGCCTGCATCGTATCACTTTTCGACCTGTAGTTCGTACGGAAAACCTTGAGGCGCCGTAAGCAGTAAAGCTATAAGCATCTGTAAGTCATATCCTTGCTTAGGTTTGTTTTGGAGGCCATCGCTACTAGGGTGGAGGCCATCGCTACTAGGTTGGAGGCCATGGCTAGTAGGTTGGAGGCCATTGCTAGTAGGTTGGAGGCCATCGCTATTAGGGTGGAGGCCATCGCTATTGAGGTGGAGGCCATCGCTAGTAGGTTGGAGGCCATTGCTGCTAGAAACAAAGGAAAAAACAAGGAAGAAAGGTCTAATTGTGCTATTAGTTTGGAGTTGCTTAGGTGACCTTAAGTAGTTAACCCAAACCTAGTCCCACACTGCACTTTTCCATTGTAGGGGCTGTAGCCAACCTCACCTCTACTAGCGGCCTACGCCCCCCCCTACTAGTAGCGATGCACTTGTTTCTACTAGCTTCTTGTTACTACAAGTAAGGCACTTGTTACTACTAGCGATGCACTTGTTCCTAGTAGCTTCTTCTTTTTCTCAATTGAAAGTTGTTCAGCCTTCAGGACTCGTTGGCCAATCGGCTGCTCTGAGACGCCAGGATCTGCAAAAACGCGGACATTTACAGGAATTGCTGAACTTACTTTCTATGTTTAAAAGAAGCTACTAGGAACAAGTGCATCGCTACTAGTAACAAGTGCCTTACTTGTAGTAACCAGGACGCTAGTAGTAAACAAGAAGCTACTAGGAACTTTCCAAATCTCGGATTCGACATGATTCTCCAACTACTTCAGCTAGGTGTTCTGGTCGTGCACCTGACATCAGTGGCATTCCAGCAGATGACCATGCCCTGAGCCGGTGGCGGTACAAACTTGGATGCAAAGCCGAAGGTGGAGGAACGTGTTTTTGGGAGAAAGGCGGGACCAAGATGAACATTAGGTTAAAAAACAACAAGTTCTTTGCTATTTGGTTGGAGGCCATTGCTACTAGTAGCAAGAAGCTAGTAGGTTGGAGGCCATCGCTATCTTTGTTCTTCTCTGCTTTTATCCTTTGCAGGTTCAAGAAACTCCATCCTCCTCAACAAACCTGGAGCTCAATAGCCGAGGCTTTGACCCGCTACCAGCAGGCCCCGCAGTGTTGTCATTGACCTTTACATTATCGCAAGGAAATCAACATGAAGTGCATGACATAGTTTTGTGTTTTTTCTTTAGGAACAAGAAGCTACTAGTAACAAGTACATCGCTTCTAGTAACAAGTGCCTTACTAGTAGTAACAAGGACGCTACTAGGAGCAAAGAAGCTACAAAGCATCTTTGAAGATCTTCGGTTCGAGAACATTTCGGTTCGACCTGCGAGTAGCCCACAAAGCCTTTCACGACGGATGCAGCATGACCTCACAACTTGCAGCCGCTCGCAGCCATGAAAACGGCCTTCTTTTTTACTAGTAGCAAAGGGCATCGCTACTCGTAGCTCCTGGCATTACTAGTAGTAGCAAGGACGCTACTAGTAGTTTCTTGTTACTAGTAATGGCCTCCAACCTAATAGCTTCTAGCTACTAGTAGCATTCTTTAACAGGCATCTTAAACATGGATTCCAACTTTTTCTTCAGCACTTCTGGCACTTGAAGTCCATGCCAAGCAACCCCAGGCACTCCGCCCTTGATCAAGTGCACCAGCATAGTCAGCTTCCTTTGGAGAAAAAAAATCAAAGGGTGCAATGAACAACGCACTTTGCAATTTGCGACATGAATTAGATAGAGATGGCCTCCAACCTAATAGCGATGGCCTCCAACTTAATAGCGATGGCCTCCAACCTAATAGCGATGGCCTCCAACTTAATAGCGATGGCCTCCAACCTATTTGCGACGGCCTCCAACTTAATAGCGATGGCCTCCAACTTAATAGCAATGAGATGGGTCTCGTGGCTCTGCTTGAAAAGGCTTTCCGCAAGGGGGTGCACGTAGTGGTTTTCCTGTCCTGGATACTTCGTGCCAATGCCTCTTTCAACAAGGATGGCAAATCTGTGTCCTGGCTAATCCCACACGCAACTGGATCAAAAAGGTTTTCTGGAGGCCATCGCTAGGATGTTGGAGGCCATCGCTCTTAGGTTGGAGGTCATCGCTACTAGGATGGAGGCCATTGCTTCTAATCAACCAGTCTTCTGGAGTCTCTTTTCAGGCTCCTTGCGGTCCACATTTCCATACCATGCAGAGATAGCACCCAAAAGCTCTGCTCTATGGATGACACGATCTCCTGGGAGGCTCAACACCCAATGTGCCAACAAGTCCGTGCTTTCCATGTTACTAGTAGCTAGAATGCAACTAGTAGTAAGGCCAGGAGCCGCTAGTAGCGTCCTTGCTCCGGTAGTAAGGCCAGGAGCCCCTCGTAGCTTCTTGCTTTCCATGATCTTTCTATGCTCAATGCAGACTGAGGTGAAATCCAAGCATATCTGCTTCTTGCATCACTCGTAGAACCTCTTCTTTAGGTACCTGACATTCGAGAACGCAACAGGATCACCTGAATCAAAAAAGCAACCCAAATCGAAACCCTGACTCTTTCTTTCTTCCTTCCTGACCGATTCTAGGTTGTGACCCGCATAAGAACCTGCTTTTGAACCAACAAAAGTAGCTTTCAGTAAGTGGCGCACTTCCTTTCCACCATTCATGGTTGTCAAGAGCTGTTCCAGCTCATCCACGGACAAGTGCCCGGACCTGCAATGCGCAAGTGTTTGGCTTGGATTGTCTTGGAACGACAGCTTGTCAGCTGTAGTGGTCCAATGCGCTGAGCTGCTCGTCGAAGTCAAATTCAGCAAAGAGTCGCAGCAAGGAATCCTCAGATTGGACAAGGGAAACAGCGGCAAAACAAAGAAAAAGGACCATGATGGACCATGACAAACATGGTGTTGCAAAGCTGTGGCATTCTTCTCTTGCGACATGCATGAGGCAATGACATCCATATGTCTGTAGCTGTGCCAAGCACGAAGTGCATAGTGAAGCCTCGGGGCCCCGGAGGCAAAACAGAATGAGTTCGATGTTTTTTCGATGCAAACGGAGCGATCGGACGCTACTAGGAACAAAGGGCATCGCTACTAGCAGCAAGGACGCTACTAGTAGCTCCTGGCCAGGCCGTACTACTAGGAGCAGATAGCTACTAGTAACAAGGGCCTTGCTACTAGGAGCAAGGACGCTACTAGAGGCTCCTGGCCGTACTACTAGGAGCAAGGACGCTACTAGGAACAGTTGATGCTGTGAATCTTCAAGCAACTCTCCGAGACTGATCCGACCATCGCGGTCCTGACGTCGATCGCAACTGTGGAGATCTGTGCAAACCGCGGTGCTGCCGTCCATTCTTGGACCTTAGAAACCTTAGGTTGGAGGCCATTGCTATTAGTATTTGAATTCTAATTCATCTCGTCCATAGACTGAATTGCTATTAGGTTGGAGGCAATTCTTGGACCGTTCGGTCCCCTTCGGTCTGTGCGAAGACTCACAGTACCCGTGAAACATATGTCGGCCTGTCCTTGTCCGAGAGTTTCATCATGAAGGTGTACCTCCAAGAGGTTCAGAAACCCAAACCATGCCACTCCAAGTGATTGCAACCGATTTTCGGGGCTTTCCATGCAAATGCTTTTTCCCAGGCCCTCTCAAGCTGGCATCTCAGGCTTGAGATGTCATATTCAACTTGTCAGGACTCAGAAGACTGTGCTTTAATATGCTTGAGTCTGCGACTCCTCCTCCGTCGGATCACGGCCTGCAACTTGGTTAGACTCTTGTTTGACCCAGTCTCTCTCTGCTCCAACGGTTCCTTTTGAAACTCGCACCTTGGTTGAAGTCTCGCAACAATGCTCGAAACTCTTCCACTTCCAGCGCCTGCAACGCGCCAAAACACAAAAAGATACGCGCCTGCAAACAGAAACGCACAGAAGAGTCATGCTGAGCCGCAAACACCAGAATGATCCCGGTCATACTCCATGAAGATCTCCTGAAAGGTACAGCTGACATTGAAATTGGACATTCTTGAAGTAGTAACAAGAAGCTAGTAGTAACAAGTGCCACGCTAGTAGTAACAGGTGCCTTACTAGTAGTAACAATATTCGCTACTAGTTAGACCATCCCTTTTCCACCTGAAGTCGAATCTCGTAGGTGTTCCATCCTGGGCCATGAGACTATTGGTGCTCTAGACCATTTGCAAGGAAACAGCAGCTATCAACTATGCTCAGCACTATTGGTGTACTTTGTCGGCTCTATATACCGAAGTGTTTCCTTCTCTTTCGACTTTCAATCCTACGAATATTTATTGTTTCTACTAGCTTCTTGCTCCTAGTAGTAAGGCCAGGAGCCCCTAGTAGCTTCTTGTTACTACTAGTAAGGCACTTGTTACTAGAAGCGATGCACTTGTTTCTACTAGCTTCTGGCTCCTAGTAGTAAGGCCAGGAGCCCCTAGTAGCTTCTTGTTACTACTACTAGGCACTTGTTACTAGAAGCGATGCACTTGTTTCTACTAGCTTCTGGCTCCCAGTAGTACGGCCAGGAGCCCCTAGTAGCTTCTTGTTACTACTAGTAAGGCACTTG